TAAAGCTGTTTTGAACATAGTTGAGCAAGTGTCCTTTGGGTATGGTGGAGCATCCATTGGTTGTATGACCCAGGAGTGGTACAGTTGGGTGTTGAAGTAGATTGCTTTCCAATTTTCTGAGAAACCACCATATTGATTTCCAAAGTGGCCGTACAAGTTTGCAATGCCACCAGCAATGGAGGAGTGTTCACCTTGTTCCACATCCTCTCCAGCATGAGTTGTCATTTGTGTTTTTTATTTTAGCCATTCTGACAGGCATAAGAAGGAATCTCAGAGTCATTTTGATCTGCATTTCCTTGATGGATAAAGATGTTGAACAATTCTTTAGGTGTTTCTCAGTCATTTGAAATCTCTCTGTTGAGAATTCTCTGTTTAGATCAGTATCTAATTTTTAAATTGGGTTATTTGGTTTGTTGATGAGTAGTTTCTTGAATTCTTTACACATTTTGGAGATCAGCCCCTATCAGCTGTGAGGTTGGTAAATATCTTTTCTCATTCTGTAGGCTGCTGTTTTGACCTTTTGACCGTATATTTTTGCCTTACAGAAGCTTTTCAGTTTCATGAGGTTCCATTATTAATTACTTGTTGATCTCAGTGCCTTTGTGATTAGTGTTCTGTTCAGGAAGTTGTCTCCTGTGCCAATACTTTCAAGGATATTTCTGTGAGTCTTTGTGTGCTTTGCATATTAGGGTGACTGTGGCCTCCTAAAAAGAATTTGGCAGTGTTCCTTCTGTTTCTATTTTGTGGAACAATGTGAAGAGTATTGGTATTAGCTCTTTCTTGAAAGTTTGGTAGAATTCTGTGCTAAAACTATCTGGCCCTGGACTTTTTTTTGGCTGGGAGATTTTTAATGACTGCTTCTATTTCCTTAGGAGTTATAGGTCTATTTAAGTTGTTTACTTGATATTGATTTAACTTTGGTAAGTGATATCTATCCAGAAAATGATTCATTTCTTTTAGATTTTCCAATTTTGTGCAGCACAGGTTTTTGAAGTATGATCTAATGATTCTCTGAATTTCCTCAGTGTCTTTTGTTATATTCCCCTTTTCTTTTCTGATTTTTAAAATTTGAATATTCTCTCTCTGCCTTTTATTTAGTTTGGATAAGTGTTTGCCTATCTTGTTGATTTTCTCAAAGAACCAGCTCTTTGTTTCATTGATTCTTTGTATTGTTTTGTTTTTATTTTATTGATTTCAGCCCTCAGTTTGATTATTTCTTGTTGTCTACTCCTCCTAGGTGAGTTTGCTTCTTTTTGTTCTAGAGCTTTCAGGTGTGCTGTTAAGTTGCTAGTATGAGATCTCTCTAATTTCTTTATGATGACACTTAGTGATACAAAATTTTCTTAGCACTGCTTTCATTGTGTCCCATAAGTTTGGGTATGTTGTGCATTCATTTTCATCAAATTCTAGGAACTTTTTAATTGTTTTCTTTATTTCTTCCTTGACCCAGTGTTGATTCAGAAGTGAGCTGTTCAGTTTCCATGAGTTTGCAGGCTTCCTGTTCTTTCTGTTGTTGAAATCCAGCTTTAATCCATGGTGGTCTCATGAGGTACAGGAGGTTATTTCAATTTCCTTGTATCTGTTGAAACTTGCTTTGTGACCAAGTAATTTGGTCAGTTTTGGAAAATGTTCCATGAGGTGCTGAGAAGAAGGTATATTCTTTTGTGTTTGGGTAAAATGTTCTGTAGATATCTGTTAGATCCATTTGAGTCATAACCTCTGTTAGCACCATTATTTCTCTGTTTAGTTTCTGTCTGGATGACTTGTCCATTGGTGAAAGTGGGTTATTGAAGTCTCCCACAACAAATGTGTGAGGTTCGATACATGATTTAAGCTTTAGGAATGTTTCTTTCACAAATGTGGGTGCCCTTGCATTTTTTGAAGCATAGATGTTAAATATTACAATATCTTCTTGGTGGATTTTTCCTTTGATGAATTTATGATAACCATCTCCATCTCTTTTGATTAATTTTAGTTGGAAGTGTATTTTGTTGGATATTAGAATAGCTACACCAGCTTTCTTCTTGGGTCCATTTGACTAGAAAATCTTTTTCCAATCCTTTACTCTGTGGTAATGTCTTTCTTTTGTGTTGAAGTATGTTTCTTGTATGCAGCAAAAGGATGGATCATATTTTCCTATCTATACTGTTAGCCTGTGTCTTTTTATTGGGGAATTGAGTCCATTGATGTTGAGAGATGTTAGTGAACAATTATTAGTAATTCCTGTTATTTTGGTGGTGGTGGTGGTGGTAGTGGTGGTGGTGGTGGTGGCAGCAGTGGCGGCAGTGGTGGTGTGTGTGTGTTTCCCCTTTTTTGGTTTTGCTGGTATGAGGTTATTTATTGCATGTGCTTTTGTGGGTGTAATTAACCTCCTTGGGTTGGAGTTTTCCTTCTAGTACCTTTTGTAGGGCTAGATTTGTGGGTGGATATTGTTTAAATTTGACTTTGTCATGAAATACCATGTTTTCTTCATCTATGATGATTGAAAGTTTTGCTGTGTATAGTAGTCTGGGCTGGCATCTGTGGTCTCTTAGAGTCTGCAAGCCACCTATTCAGATCCTTCTGATTTTTAGAGTTTCCATTGAGAAGTCAGGCATTAATTCTAATAGAGCTGCCTTTATATGTTACTTGGTCTTTTTCCTTTGCAGCTTTTAATCTTTCTTTGTTCTGTGTGTTTAGTGTTTTACATGGTATGGGAACTTTTTTCCTGGTCCAATTTATTTGGTGTTCTGTAAGCTTCTTGTATCTTTATAGGCATGTCCTTCTTTAGGTTGGGAAGATTTTCTTATATGATTTTGTTGAACATATTTTCTGGGACTTCGAGTTAGGATTCTTCTTTTATTCCTATTATTCTTACATTTGGTCTTTTCATGGTATCCCAGATTTCCTAGATGTTTTGTGTAAGGAATTTTTTAGATTTAACATTTTCTTTGACCAAATCTATTTTTCCTAACATGTCTTCAATGTCTGTAGTTCCTGTTTGCTTATCCAGATTTTTCCATTTCCAGAATTCCCTCTGTTTGTGGGTTTTTTTTTTTTTTTTTGCTTCTATTTCCATTTTCAGGTCTTGAACAGTTTCCTTAACCTGTTAGTTTGCTTTTTTCTTGGCTTTCTTGGCATTCTTTAGGGGACACTTTTTCATTTCCTCTTTAAGGAACTATCATCTTCATAAAGTTGGTTTTAAGGTCTTTTTCTTGTGCTTCTCCTATGTTGGATTGATCAGGTCCTGCTGTTGTAGGATAGGCTAGGCTCTGGTGGTGCCATATTGCTCTTCCTATTCTTGATTGTGTTCTTACACTGGCGTTTAGGCATCTAGGTTTGGGATGGTTATAGGTCTAGGTGTTGGTTCCCAAGTTTGTCTTTGTTTTGAATGGGTGTTTTGTTCCTTGGTTTCTGTTCCCTCTCTGGACTTTTGGCCTAAGTGGCTAGGAGTTCTGCTGACTAGCAACTCTTCAGGTCCAGTGAGGTGTTCTCTGGTGGATGATTTTTGTGGCCTACAGGACCTTTGGGGTTTGCGCCAACATTGCCTCTGAAGTTCCAAGTACCTTTGTGGCCTCTGGGGTTCTGGGCACCTGTTTGGTCTCAGGGATTTCTAGTAGCATGCCTCCCGTAAAGAAGAAATTTTCTGCCAAGGTTGTGTGTTGGGATGTGGAGCTCCAGGGAGGGGGTGCCCTTGGAGGCTGTTGGGCCAGCTTTAGGGAGTGTTAGCTGGCTATGGGCAGTGTTTTACCTTGGGTCCCTAGTATCTGCCTGGCCTCAGGTAAAGCAGAAGTCTTTTACTTGAATTGTTTGCTAGAATATGGAGCCCAGAGGAGGTGGTGCAGTCTGGGATTATTGGGCCGGCTTTAAGAAGTGTTAGTGCATGGTGGGAGATATCTTACCTGGGATTTCTAGGACCAGTTTGACCTCTGGTAAAGAAGCCAGAGGTGTGGGCCAAGATATAGAACCCAGAGGAGGGGATGCTTTGGTCCCTAGATCTGCCCTGGCCTCCTGTAAAGCGAAAGTCTTCCACCAAAGGTATTTGCCTGAATATGGAGCACAGGGCTTGCGGTGCAGTCTGGGGTTTTTAGGCAGGCTTTAAGGGGTGTTAGCAGGTAGTGAGTGATATCTTACCTGAGGTCCCTAGGGCCAGCCTGGCCTCTGGTAAAGGAGCCCAGGGGAGGGGTTCTGTACTTAAAATATCTTTACTGAAGTATTTTTCCTCCTTTTCTGCAGTGTGATGAGTTCCATTTCTAACTGTCCTCTGTCAATCAATCCTCTGTGTGAACAGGCTGCATAAGCTATCAACTGTGCTTAAGGACTTGTCCAGAGATCTTAGAGTTTAGATGCTATATGAAACACCTATCAGGATTTCCTTAAGAGTTAATGGGTCAACAGCAGGATCACATACTTTGTATTTTATTGATGCTCTTGTGCTTCTTCAGCTTAGGATCACAATGCAAGCAATGCTAAGCCTTCAGGAGGCAATCGATGTCTACTCAATACTTCTTAATAGAACCTGCTTCTCCTCTTGCCCCTGCTAAGTTCGTCTCAGTGTCTATGTCTCAATGACTATGATGTGATATGTGACTTACCTGTCCTCTGACAAGCAGAGACAATGGTAAATCTAAGTCTTCAGCTTTCATATTGTTCTGCTAATTCCATGTGCAGTGGGTGGTAAAGTGGCCTCTGCTCCCAGTACCAAGAAAGCGGTGAGTGTGGTGTCTATGGTGTAGCACACTATGAACCAGGTTGGGCATCCCAGCCACCACAGCTCCACAGACAGGGCTGTGAGGACCAGCAAATGCACAGAGAATATCCTGCCCTATTTGCGACTGGAAGTATTAAGATGTCCTGGGCGTGAGATGAGTGCCCCAGTCCTACTTGGTGCCTGAGTTATAAAGGGGGAAAAGAAGCATTACTGTTTGTGGTGTAGCACCCAGGACACTGGTGAAAAGCGTTTTGATCAGAGCATCTTCAGCACGGTGTGGCGGCAACCAGATGATGAGAACACAGGCATCGCCAGACGGCCTCTCCTCTTTATTGGTCATCGTTAGCTGAGTTTTCCAAGTGTCTAGCTAAAGACAGCATTGAAAGTCTGACAAACACACATGACTATTTCCCGTATCTCTAAAATTTCTCAAAACCCCGTTCATCAGAAAAATCTTTCTGCAGACAACACATGAAGATATTTTAAGCATCATTCTCTTGCCTTTGTCAAAAGTGTATTTTCAATCACACTTAATAGATCACTAATTTCCTAACAGAAGTCAAAGGAAATTTTTTTTTTTTGGTCAAAAGACTGTTTTGTTTGACATATTACGTGGACCTTACAATGTACATATTAGGTCAAACCCTCAAAACAGAAGCACATTTCCCATCATAGGACAGGACGGTCATACAGAGTAAACACCCAGGCCCCTCTGAGCGCAAAAACCTGTAGAGCAGCTTTCCCTCTTGTGCCGTCCACACCAGAGGACCGACCACCAACAGGGCTGTGTGGCTTAAAGAAAAAAACTGAAGCTATCATAAAAAAAAAAAAAAGTGCCGCAAGACGTGTCTATGAAGAGGACTGCAGTGAGCCCTTAAGGCAAGTGGTGCGTGGCCTTCCGTAGGCTGTCCCAGGCAGTACCTACCGCCTTTTCCTGTAAGTGTGGCTCCATCGTGGAAAGTAATTAGTTTGTACTTTTCTTCAGGTTCGGTTTCTTGGGGGCACTTCTAGCTTGGATGTTCTTCTTAGGGCTGGCAGTTTTGGGGGCGGGTGGCTTTCCCTTTGGCTTGGGGGGGTTGCTGCGGCTGGTGCGGCTAGCTGTTCGCTTCTTGTCCGGAACTGTTCTCTGCTGTTCACGGAGCCTCTCTTCCCACTGCTGGGAGGCAATTTGTAAATGTAACTATCAAATACCTGTCACCCTTTTATGCTGTTCAACCGATAGGAGAACTGACCCAGGGGGTTTCACATTAGGGCAGTTCCACTGTGATATTGCGACAATGATTATCGATTCCCTATGCTGGGCACTTATGCCTCCAGTGACTGCAAAGTGCTCCGTATGCAAAGAAGTCTAAATACTCAACTCATTCCTTTGAAGCTCACACAGATCTTCTGGGCACCATTGTCACAACCAGTAAACAAGTACACAGAGGTTATTTGCAGAGGTCCATAGGGCCACTAAAAGTTCTTGCCAGCATTCAAAGTCCTCTAGCTGTTTCTAGAGCTCAAGCCCCTCACCTGTGTGCTTCTGATGGCCAGCCTCAGAATACAGTATCTCTACACAGCAAAGCATTCTAACATAATGTTACCATCACTAAAAGCAGCAATCTATGTAGTCTCCCTGCAAAGCCAGTGATCCACTACATTGAAGTAATTACCTACATCCAAAGGAAATAAAAACTAGTAGTTCCCCTTCTTCGATGGATCTTCCAAGACACCATGTGCATAATGCTGACCTTGCACAGCACTGTGCTGTCTAGATGCTGTGGCTTTTGTTGTATATCTGTACCTATGGTAAGGTTTAACTAGCGTGTTAGGCACAGCAAAAGATAATGATATCAAGAATAAAATTATTGTATCCATTTACTATAATAAATGTGGTCTCCCTCAAAATGTCTTATTTTATTGTTTTGTATTTTTGAACTGTGATTAACTGCAGGAAAAAACAAACAAAAACCAAAACATGAGGTACAGAGAGGCAGATAAAGGGTGCTGTATGATATTTTGTTTGTGTTCTGACAAATAAAGCTTGCCTGGAGATCAGAGGATGGAGCTAGCCATCAGGCAGTGGTCACACACACCTTTAATCCCAGCACTTGGGAGAAGAAAGCATGGAGATCAGACATTCAAGGCCACTCTGGGATACACTAGATTGAACCATTAGACTGGTTCAAAGAGAAACAGAGCCAGGCAGTGGTGGTGCACGCCTTTAATCCCAGCACTAGGGAGGTGGAGACAAGACTATAAGGCGAGTGGAGACAGGAGACAGACCCCCTTTCTGTCTGAGGATTCACAGAGGTAAGAAGTCTCTAGTGGCCTAGCTACTCTGCTTCTCTGATCTTTCAGGTTATTACCCTGATATTTGACTCTTGGGTTTTATTGATAAGACTAATTAGGATCATGCTTCAAAGGGGAGCTGCTGTAACTCACTAAAGTGCTCAGACCACTGGGGAATGAGTTATCTTATGAATAACCAAGCTTCCCTGAGAGCAAAGTTGTGGTATGTATGTATGTATGTGTGTATGTATTTTTTTATTTTGGTGTGTATGTGCACATATGTGTGGGAGGTCAGAGGTTGAATTCCTTTCTCCACTGATTTTTTCAATTATATTTTTGTCTTGGGAACCAGCAATACAATTTTCTAGAATATTGTATCTCATTACAGTGAACACACTTGCTGAGTAGCTCGCGAGTCTCTGATGGGAGTTTTAGCACAGGTCTAACACAGCAGCGTTTGGTTGTGTTTTACAGGCATGCTCAGTGTTTAGCTGTTTTCTCCCGACATTAATTCTTATTCATCCAAACTGAAAAACTGGACAGGAATGATTTCTGTTTTGAAACTAAAATATAAATTCTCCTCAATGACTGAATTTATTTTGAGGAGCAAGGGTGCTTTAAAAATTCCAAACCAGTTAGCATTTTTAATTGCAGATGATATTCATCTGGGGTGGGGAGAATATTCTAACTCTAACATAATTATCAATATGGGAGTGATATTACCATTAAGATTATGCATTTGACCACAAATGAATTACTTTTGCTTATGATTATTTAGAGACAGAGCTTACATTATTTTAAATGCAGTATAGTATGGTTAGTTGTGGTATGCGTTTTAGAAGTATTTGCATATCTACAGATATATGTTAATTTTTATATGAATACTGAATTTTTATGCCATTTGCTGTATTAACTAAATTGTAATACAATAAAGCAAGAACAATGCCTAATTTAACCTGGAAATAACTGGTGCCTTAAATTTGAGTACAATTGTATCAACTGTAAAATTGGATAACAGTTTCTGATAATAATTCCAAGTAAATTAGATGTGATTCTCAACTGCAGATTCAAAAGGCAGGTGTTCTTGCCATTACTGGCTCTTGTGAGAGCTTGGGGGAAAGACATTATGGGAAAATATCCAATTTGTAGAATTTTCTTACAGTCATTTCTACCCATGCCCACCATTTTGTTAATTATACTTACTATGGACCTTCTACTAAGTTGATCTCTCCATTTTTCAACTAAACAGTTTTCAAGAAGCATCATCCTAGAAAAAAAAGTAAATTTCTTGGTAATTAAATTTTGATTATAAAAGTAAAACATTTACCAATACAGAAGATAATACTTGTTTTCAAATAACTCTTATCCCCATAACCTATATATCTACTATTAATAATTTATGGATTTTTCTTGTTCCTATATGTTTTTCTGATCACACTGCATATATAAACTATACTTTACATTTCTTTTCATTGTTATGTTTGTTTTCTGGGATGATTAGAAGACACAATATAAACTATATATAGTACAACTATGGATATCCACTTAGCTATACTCTACTCTCATTACTCTTATTGTGTTGAATATCCTTGAACAGAATAGTGTGCACTGGGTTATTGTTTCCTTTAGACGGGTTCTGGGCCAAAAGGGGTTTTCTGCTTTTATGTTTTGAGAACTGGTGCAATGGTTAAGAGAACTGGCTGCTCTTGCCGAGGATCTGAGTTTGGTTCCCAGCACAACACTGAGGTGAACAACCAGCTGTTAACTCCAGTTCCAATGGATATAATGCCCTCTTCTGTGCTCCATGGAAATGCCACACATATGATGCATAGACATACAGGTGGCAAAACAGCCACACACATAAAGTAAAAATAAATAAATTTTAAAAAGGCATTTTTAATAGAGTACCAATCATTTTACAAATAGCTTCATTTTCATCTAGTTCACTAACATTAAAACACTAAATAAAAGTATAAAACCTTCTGTTTATTTGAGCTTGGGAAATACAAAGGTAAGTTTTAATGTTTATTTACTGTTTGCACTTATGGAAATTTTCTATGTGGATTTATGCATACATTTATGCATTATGTTCATAACACTTTAAATGGTAATTTTAAACAATAATATCTCCATGTTCATCATATCCATTACAGAGGCATACCATTTTCTATTTGCTTTTGTGACTGTTGTGCACATAACATCATCCAGTCAAAACATTCACTGACATTTTCCTTTGCAATTTCTTGCATTGGTTTTGTGCTTATAAAGCACTTTGCATTTCAAGTGTCATGTTTCTAATCATCTAATTTTGTCCTTTTTGACCATGGTTTTAAAATGTTCACCAACTTAATCCGTTTTAAATTTGTTTCTTAATACAGTGAAAAAAACAGGCTATTTTTCTAAACAAATATATTTGTAACTAATACATTCATATGCTATTGCTTTATTACATTTCCATCATAAAATATTCTTTTATTTATTTTAATTATTTTCAAAAATATTTCCATTATCTGGGTCTGTTTCTCACATGCCTATATTTCCTGCTATTTGTAACAGAGACTGATGCAGGAAGGTTGCAAGTCTGAGGTCTGCTTGGGCTACAGAAGGAGCTCAAGGTCTGCCTGTATGACACTGTCTTAAAATAAAAAGTAAACTGAGGGCTGAAGACTTAACTATGCCATAGAGAGCTTGGCTCACTGAGCACTCAAGGCCCTAGGAACAATCTTCAGCACTGGAGATAAATAAGGGAAAGTATTTCCTTTGTTTTATCTGTAGGTCTGTTCTTAACTACACAGTAGTAGCTGTACACCAGTTTTGTGTTTCTTCATAATATAGATCTCTAATTACTTTCAAAATCTTCTTTACATAAATCCCAGTCCTCCAAAAAATAGTTGCACTGGATGAGTCTAAAATCCACTCATCTGCCCAGAAAGAACTGAAAGACTAATGACCTAGTGTGTCCCCAAATGAACCCTGCTTTGCTATAGCACATATAAACATAATGAATCTAGAAGCATTGACCACATCTTGAAAGAGTCAGTTGTAAGGAGAAGGATGGTTCAAAAGGTAAGAACATGCAGCGCCACGGGAGGGGATCAACAACTGAAGTAATACAAAACCAGGCCTTGAAATGATGACATTTTCAAAAGATGCGTTTGCTTTTTAAGTTTAGAGGAATGGAGTCTTGGGCTTTATCAAGAAGTGGCATATAAGCATGAATGCCAGAGAATGAAAAAGGGGAATGTTATATAAAATTGTGTGATTTTTTCCTAGATAACATTACTGCAAGTTTGGGGGTCTGTTCTAGGAAATGAGCTGAGAAATTCAATTCTATATTCCAGGAAATGTACTGATGTATGAAAAAATGACTAGGGAAAGAAGTGAGTAGATGAGCAATCCCCACTAGAGGTATGTGTGTGCTTTGCTTTGTAATGACTGAATTTGACATTATATAGTCTCTGTTTCAGAAACTGTCTTGAAGTTTCTGTGTGTGTTTGTGTGTGTGCAATCTTCTATGAAAGGTACTTCAAAGTATAGATTAGGAATCCCATAGAACTTTAGTCTAAGATGGCTACTGGTTAACCTCTAAGCTACTTCACAGTACCTTAAAATTCAGACCTCTTCATGCTGAGACTGATACAATGACTTGAAAATAACTGCTCTTACTCAAAAAAAAATTTACTTGTTGATGTATTTTAAATCACCTAATGGATTCTGAAATAGGTTTTTAAAGATTCTATTTAAATATTTTTCTAAATTTTCCTCATTCTCTTAACTAGAAATTTAGAATTTAGAATTCAGATAATGAATAAACTATTTAGGAAATACAGCATCCCAGAGGAGACATATACTACAATACATTTTAAATGACAACTAGTATTACTTTGGTCTGTAAAACCATGACTGCTAATGAGATTTGCACTCCACATGCAATTCCTCTGCTCCCTGGAACCTACCTCGAACGCCACTCATAACACATGATGAGGACATCTTGATGGGGCAGGATATGTGGACACTGGCAGGAGGAATTTGTGATGAGGGGGACTTGTGTTTGAGGTATGGGCGAGGAAGACTTGAAGATCTCTTTCACATCCACCACTGTCGTTACTTCATTGCAGCCACTCCTCTGGATGGCTTTGATTTTGGCATGGATAACTGAAATTGAAAACCCAAGTAACTGTTGTTATCGAAGCCTTTGGGGGAAAACTAGAGACAGTGTTTTAAGGTCAGATCCAGAGCCTCTCTTATAGTGTTACTCCTGTAATTATGGTCATGTCCAAGCAGCCCCAGTGCAGTCAGAAAGCCCACACTGCTAAATGCAAAGCATTCTATTTTGTCATCATTGTCTGAGAATTCATGATTCACATCGCAAACTGAAAAGGGAATTAGAAGGCCAGCATTAGCCTGGATTTACAGGTCACCCAAACTTTCACGTAAACATTTTTATCTGTTTCTACTTTCCCTCTAGTTAGAGGATGGTCATAGGATCAGAGTTGGAAGTCAAGGTAAAGCTTGTATTCCTTCAGCCACCCATCTTAGGTTTGAATTTCTTTTTACAGAAAAAAATCATTAGTCATAACTGCCAGGTCCCACAGAATGCCGGCGTTTATCTAACCACCAAAAATCCTCCTACAGTCCAAGTTGAACTCATTTCTGAATATTTAGACAGCCTGAGACCTAACATTAATATTTTCCAACTGCAAGAAATCCCTGAAAGCTGCTGTTCTCAGTTCATTAATTTCACAAACCGACAGAGAAGGCCCAGGGTGAGTGGAGATGAGATTGTTATTACAGGAGGATGTTCAGGTCACCACCGCTGATCAAATTTTAAGTTCCAGAGTCTTTGGATCCTGGCTATTTAGTACTTCTAGTGGAGTTGCTGATCAGCCCAACACAGGTCTGTTTTGGATTCCACCCTAGTAAGCTGGCTTAAGGAAGAGCCAAACGTGTATCAACTGAACAGTCAATCGCCAAGGTGGCTCCAAATCATGGTACTCCAGAGGTGGCACTCCATGGCACTCCATGGTAGGATTAGATAGCCTCTGGTTAGACCCATGGGCTGGATCTTGGCAGACAAGGAACAAAGCAGACAAGATTAAGACAACATCTGCATGGAACACGTTTCAAGAAGAAACAAAAGCTACTCGGGAGAAAATGAAATTCTCTGTTGTTGAACTGCCCACATTGGTTATTTGTGACTCTCGAATCTGACAGCTGAACTGCAGGTTATTTTTCCAGAGTTCTGTACCTCCCTACTTTCTTATGTGGTAAATAATCTAAAGCTTCTTACTGACACACTATTTCAGTTAAAATATGAAAACCAAGCTGATAAAGAAACTATACTTTTCCTGTTACTTTTTTGTCCTTCATATTTTAGGAGAAATAATTTAAGAAATGCAACAAAATATTAAATAGCCCAAATAGACACTTGACTTGTTTTTATTTTTTCTTCTTTTCATGTACTATGTGTATATAGTGTGTGTGTGTGGTGGGTGTGTGACGTGTCGGTGGATACATGTATGTGCTGGTGCAAGCAACTGAATTGCCTCAGATCTCAAGTACGTATTTTAAAAGAACACATTTAAATTTAATTCCAAATGATGACAGTAGAATTAAAAATACTTAAAACTTTTAAAATACCATGACTGGTTTGTTTTTTTTTTCCTTTGGAGGAAGTACTAAATGGTTTGTTCAAGTAAAAGAGAGGAGGGTTAACGTGTGCATCTGTAGCTGTGGATGAGGAAAAAGACACATGGTCAGGTCTTCATCCTCTGGTCTTCAGATAGTCAAATCCTGATCTGAACCCTCACCCTTCCTGCAGTGAGACAACTGAGGAAGAGAACAGTGGCCCCTGCCTGTTCGTGCACAGCACTTTTCACTGAGTCCATTTCTACATGTGTGATTTGTTTTGTTTTTTTCTTTGACTTATCCAGAAAAGCAAGAAGCTTTATAGTTGTTGTTGAGAATTCCAGAAACCATATAATTAACAACAACAAAGGCAACAAGATCCATCATCCCCTCTCCTTGACTGGTACATCCAGGCTGATGTGATTTCCCTGCCTTGTTGTGCCAAGTCCCCAAAGCAAATGCCATCGTCGGAAGACTTACCATAGCTGTAGTTTTTGCTCAGGTACGTTGCCAAAGTTGGCTTCACCTTTTTGCACTTACACCGATCTAAAAGAGACACAAAATACATGGGAAGTGGGGAAGAGACGTCACTCTGGCCCAAAGCAAGGGGCACCTGAGGACAGAACTCACCAGGGCTCAGGCGTTTACAGTCAGCATCAAAGGGCCTTTCCTGCATCATCATATCTGGTGTGATGTCTATCCACTTCACATCTGGAACACAAACAGGGCCAAGGGGGTGTAGTCAACGACTGTGTCCCTCATCCATATTGAATAAGGAATCATCAGAGGCTACAAGCCAACACAAACATCCAACACAATATTACCACTGCAGAAATAGCCTGCAATTGTCACCTACTTTTCTCACAACGCCCCAGAAAGAAGTCTGTGAGCCAAGAATTTGCTTACTCAAACAGAACTTGATGTGAAGGAACATCCTTGACACCAATCTGGATCAATCTCATCCCTACCCCCACCCCAGCCATCTTGATATTGTTGCTCCAAGTTAACAAGTTAACAGTTCTCCCATCAGAACAACCAGACTATTTCCACATTGCCACCTCTAACTGCCCTGCGAAGCTGCACTACTAAGCATAACTTCAAGGCATTTATGAGATTTAAACAATTGTCTAATTTACATTTTTTTTCTAATATTCTTAGAAAGAGAGGAGTTTAAAGCAAGACTCCATAAATCACACCAGCCCCTTTGAATCACATCCTGGACCCGGTCTCTTTAAACAGCAGATGATCTGACTTAGGAGAAGCCTCGGTAAAATAATGCAACACTGTTCTCAGGTTTCATTTCAAGAAGTGAATTCAGAGTGCTCCTTCCAACAAAACCAGTAAAATAGCAGGAAAGAGAAAAGCAGGAAGTAACACAGTGATTAGCCAACATGCCACACAGTACTGGGCTCAGTGACCACAACAGAGGAACAGAGTGGAGTTTATCCAATATCCAGGGCAACTACATTCACAAACTTTACCGTTGGAGAGGAGTGAGAATTACTATTGCTCTTTGAGAAAGAACTTCCAATCAGCACTAAATGAGAGTCTATTAACCACCACTTGGTGGGGCTGATTCAAGCATTAGGTAAGGTGAAGGATGCAGGCTTAACATCCACCCACACCCACAGCAGTATCTGTTTGCCAGGGCTATTGTTTCTGCTATCTACCTTAAATAAAACACTTAAATGGTTTACCCCCAAGCAACGTTATTCCCTCCCTCCCTTGAGAAATCCCTGTGAAGAATCTTCCCTGTCTTTCACCTTCCTCAAGGCTCAGTGAACTGTGATGGGACCGGAGCTGGTCAGCTGTACGTGAGGCCACCTGGTTCTCACGTGATTGTGTCAGCCCCTGGACTCTCTTGGCCTCCCGGGATACCTCCTCTTGCCTTACCTTCTGGAAGGTCAGTGACTATGGCCTCGGGAGAGATGCAGACTCCACGGTCATAGACGGGCAGCTCGTCGCAGGCCAGACTCTCTGGCCAGCTGTGGTTGTACATCTTCATGAGAGGCTCGCAGTCGTCGCGTGCGCGCTGGCACACAGACTTGCAGGGCTTGATGGGGTCGTGCAAGAACTCCAGGGTACAGATGGGTGCGTACATGGCGCAGAGGAAGAAGCGCAGCACAGAGCTGCAGTTCACATCCACCAGCTCCTCGTACTGCTCGATGGCCAGGATGGCGTTCTCCTGCGTGCTGTGGTGCAGGTGGTTGGGCATCCGAGTGATGTTCCAGGGCATGTGCCGGCACATGGGGATGCGCACAGCCTCGCAGGGCGCGCCGCGCACGCCCAGCGCCAGGCGCAGCCACAGGCACAAAGCCACCAGGATGGAGAGGAGCATGGCACTGTCCTCCCCCGCTGCTGCTGGCAGGAAGGACCCTTCTCTTCTAGCCCCCCTGCTCCCGCTATCTCTTCACCTAGGAGCAGCGGGTGAACTTTCCTGCCGGGCCGCACTGATGGGGAGTTCTGGGGTCTGGGCGCAGACTGCCCCTGAGCGCTCGGAGCACCAGCAGCGCCAGCACTCAGCCTCCAGAGCACCGACCCGCGCAGGAAGCTCCAGTCTCGGACTCCGCAGCTCGGAGCGCAGCCGGACACGGCCATTGCGGGACCCTATTTATCCAGACTCGTCCCCTGACGTGGGCTCAGCAGCCTTGGCAGCTGCAAGCGCAGAGTCCGCTCCGGGCTCCACTGCTCCACCCCCAGCCTCTCGTGCAGAAGCGGTGACATCATCTCTGCCGCTGGGCAGTCAAGGGCTGCAATCCTGCATTCCTCCCCCAAAGTCCCTCCCTTTTTAGGGTGGCTAGTCCTTTTTTCTTCCGATCAACAAAAGGAACACCTTGCGTTCAGTCATTTGGGACGTCCGATACAAGGCCGTGCAGGGAAGAGTTTGAAGAGAGAGAACACAACACTCTTTGTCAGTCGGCCTTATAGTTTCCCTAAGTACAGAGTTGGAGCAACGTGACCCGGTTGCGCCCTTTAATTTAGAAACATTTGCTTTTTCGTTCCGGTAGGGGGCGAGAGAGGTGCCAAGTAGTGAGCGGAGTGTGGAGCCCAGAAAGCCCAGCGAAGTAGGTGTTGGAACCGGCACCAAGGGACAATTTATATAAGCCTCCCCCAACCCGCCCCCGGTTGTGTGGGGTTTGTTGTTGCTGTTGTTGCTACTGATGTTGTTTTGTGGCCACTGGGCTTAGTTCTGGCTCAAGTTTTACCAGGCATTTGGTTTGTGCCTGCTCCAGGAACTTAGAGCTGCCCAGGGGTGCAAGACCATCTTTGGGTTAGAGAAGTTTCTCTGATTCCTTCCTTTCTCTAAACACTAATTCCTGAGCCCAATATAAGTAAAAGCCAGGAGGAAACAAAGACAACTTGAGACACCACATTCTGAAAGATTTTTTTTTCCCAATCCAACAGTCTGGTCTTTGATAAATTACAGACTATTTTTCTTGAGTAAGAATCCACTAGCTTTGGAAGGCAAGTGTACATGTTCACTTTTCCTCTTCTTTGCATTAGAAAGAGGCAGCAAAATCAACACTGGCCTCACTATTCCCAGAAAAGAGGTGTTACTGATGCAAGTTTATATCAAATGTCTGGCAGTCAGATAGCAAGGCTTCTGTTGTAAATTTGCTGTCATCATTAACAATAAGAAAACGTGTTCTCTGAATGTTAATCTTAAAAGTTATGGTTGAACTAAGGAAGCTCTTTTGCCTCTCCAAAGCTGAAACCCACAAGTTAGCTTAGTTGTGAATCTGGCTGAGGATTAAAACAGCTGGACAAAAATGGAACAAAACAAAATAAAACACAACTGCTTTTGTCCTCTTTATTGGGTAAGGTATGGGGACAAGTACTTTCAAGACATTAATTTGCCTATGAGTTCTGATACTATTTGGAAGCTGCCCAGAGTGCCTCCAGGCCAATCGAAATAGGTATTCTGGTTTCCTACAGAATAGATCTCAAGTTCCAAAGATGCCAAACCAAGCTAGGAAAATATCAAGCAGAGGGCGTGGTCCAAATGACATCTCAAGCCTTTTCCAGTAGTGAAATCCCAAGTCTAAACCCCTCACTGAGCAACAAAGATTTTCAGAGTAACTTTCTTTTTTTTTTGGTTTTTCGAGACAGGGTTTCTCTGTGTAGCTTTGCGCCTTTCCTGGGACTCGCTTGGTAGTCCAGGCTGGCCTCGAACTCACAGAGATCCGCCTGGCTCTGCCTCCCGAGTGCTGGGATTAAAGGCGTGCACCACCACCGCCCGGCTTCAGATTAACTTTCTAATGAGAGCAAAAGAGAGAAGGAACAGAACTTCCCGCCACTTTCCTCTGAGCTGTTAGGGGATGGCACACTTGGAGAGGGCTCACTCTTAGGCAGCCAATTTAAACTTGTTGCATATTTAACTATGCAGGTCTCTCACCACCTCACCTCAAAGTTTCATGGGCTTCCCTGATATTCTCTGATTGCCTAGTCTTTAAGAAAGAGAGGGCTAGGAATATAGCTCAGAGGTAGAGCACTTACCTAGCATGGGTGAGGCCCTAGGTTCATCCCAACACTGAAAGAAAACATGAAAAGAAGGAAAAGGTTAAGACAGGTTTTGGGAGGCAGAGGGGTAGAGCTAAAGATCACCCTCAGCCTGGGGAAGCTGTCTTCCATGCTGTTTGTAGCCCTAGCAGGCCTACTGTCTGTCCCTGTGTTCTATAGACTGTGTATAGCAGTGGAGGGACTCGGGAAACAGTCTAATGTTCTCCCTCTCCCTGCCCTCCAAAAAGGCTGTGACTCTAGCTTTAGCACTAAAGCCATTGTCCTCTAGATGAGTCCTTCTCTGGAGGGACTCCCTTTTGGTCCCCCTGTGCTTACTTCTCTTTCCTCCTAAATGCCTGCTGCTCTCCAGGACTGTGCCCTCAGCCCTCTTCTCACTCCTAACTCTCCACTCTGCTCCAGGTTTCCTCAACCTTGGCACTTTCGAAACTTAGGACTGGAGAGTTTCTTGGTGAATGTCCCCTGGACAGAGGGAGGCAGGAACCATTTACCCAGGCACCTCAAATCCCATGAACCCCCTCCTCCTTTCTGGGTCCAGTGACTATGTGTACGCTCTGGGCTTCCAAATTTAAAATTGGTACCACATTCTCATGTTATACAGAACTGTCTTTGGTTATCTCTACATGGATATCCCACAGTCATCTCAAAGCCAACTAACCAAACTAGAATTTAGCTTCCTTCCTTTCTCCAACTGAATGTCCTTTTACCCCAATCAGAAACCTCTGCCTCAAAATGAAATCTTGCTCTTTATTTCCAAGCTCCATTTCGCACTATCCATCCCCATTTCCTTGACTCAGCCAGGTTCTCTGGCCTGTATTATGCATAGCAGCTTCTTTCCTGACACCCTGCCACTCTGTCTGGACCTGCATATTCTCCCTGTGCCATGGGAGGAGCAAGCTTTCTAATGCACATTCCTTATGAGGCTCCTCTCTGGCTTTTTATGGGCTGGTGGCTCCCACAGTCCTCAATATTAATAACAAAGCACTTACCAGCTTTTAAAGCCCTGAGTGACCTGGCTCCAGAATGCCCTTCTGATGCTTAAACTCCAATACTGGACCTGTCATTCACTTGCCCTCACTTAGGAACGCCTCCAACCACTTCCTACTGCCCCACTCTCCTTCACATGTGCTATTAAGTGCAAATGTAAATCAAATTCTAAAGCAAGGGTCTTTAAAAGAAAACTTCCCCATCTTGTCTTGATTGTATAATATTAATCCTATCATTCCTTAAACACAACCCCAATTTGTTCACACAGATGTAAACCCCGAGATACACAAACCTCTAGACTTGAAGCTTTGCCATGTACGGACAGAGAGAGAAGTCTCACTGAATTGTGACTTCGAGACAGTGTAAAGGCCTGAGACTGGGAATTGCCCAGTGACCACAACGGTAATTAGTGTCATTTCTTCAGGACCTATCATGACACTTTAAATTTGTTTGAAAACAAAAGAGAAAAACGGAAAAAACAAGGTCACAATTTTGTCAAGAAACAAGTTACAACAGCCAGAGAAATTACTGCACCTTTGCTTCCCCCCTGGACGCCTTAAAACCGCCCTACTGAGGGTTTGTGGGTTGAAAGCTGCACATTTTGGAGAAAGGTGTCCCTTCTCAGCACATTCCCGCTTCTCCGCCCCAAACTCTTTAAATCGCGATGCCCTTCAGGATGCGAGTGGCATCACTGCCGCTGCGTTTCCTGTTGGCAGCAGAGAGCAGTGAAAATAAGCTTTAGTAAGCAGCCGCTAGGGCAGAAAGAGCTCCTGGGCGATTCACGCGGCTTTCCCAGGCCGGCGTCCCGAGCCTCTAGAAGGGAAAAGCGGGAGAGGCCAGCGCGTCGGAGCATCGCGTTCAGGAGCTCACCTTCGGCCCAGCGTGGAGAGAACGCGCGGCGCGCCCACGCCCGGCCTCGGCCCCTTCTTGGGCTCGGCTGATCCCCGGCGGCGGATCGCAATGCACGCGCATGCTCCCCGCCGGGTGGTCAGGGGGCCTCGGGGCGCCTGGCTGCTGGGTGGCCTCTGGGTTTGGGCTGTGTGCGGCCTGTGCGGCCTGGGGACAGCGGCCTCACCGGGGACCGCGCAGCCCTGCCAGGCGCCCCAGCAGTGGGAGGGACGCCAGGTTCTGTACCAGCAGAGCAGCGGGCACAACAGCCGCGCCCTGTTGTCCTACGATGGGCTCAACCAGCGCGTGCGGGTGCTGGACGAGAGGAAGGCGCTGATCCCCTGCAAGAGGTAGGCGGCGCGGAAGGGCATGAAGGCGGCCAGGGGAACGCCAGGTCAAGGTGCTTGGCACCCCAGCTAGACCTCCAGCCGCTCCTGGCCCCTCCCCAAACCCCACTCCCACCCCCAAGAACTTTACAGGGGCTCTTGGGGGCGGCGTGGTCTGCCCAGCAAGGCAGAGGGAGGCAAAAAAAAGGACTCAACAAGGGCAGGATGGAACAGCCAGACGCTCTGAGTCCAAGTTAGCCCCAAGTCGTCACTGCTGAGTCAGGCTCTTGGCACCTGGAACCCCCTGCAGCCTAGGGCGCGTTTTTTTTTTTTTTGTTTTTTTGTTTTTTTGTTTTTTTTTTTTGTTTGTTTGTTTTTCTAGAAGTCACCTACAAGGGAGACACAAAATATTCTCTAACAATTTTGTTTACAATAAAAAAAATTTGAGTGTGTGTGTGTGTGTGTGTGTGTGTGTGTGTGTGTGTGTGTGTGTGGTGTGGAGGCCAGAGGACAACTTATCAAGTCAGGTCTCTCTACTACCTGGCCATGTGGCTCATAGGACAACACTGTAAAAGGAGTGGGGAAATGATTTTTAAAAGTCACACACAAACTTATTACCCCATTATAATATTAACATTTTTGTTTAAACCTTGAATTTTTTTTCTTTTGGAAAACTAGTTAAAATTCCCACTAGAGCACGTGTACTGCTACCTTAGAACTCCAGCTAGACACAAGTACTATCACCTGAATCCTCCTGCTACCTATCCTCGTCTCTTGTCAGTTTTTTGAGTTGTTCCGTATTTTTAATAACCACACCACTTGCAAAATGGGAGGGCATGTTATCACACACATGCTCACACATGTACACATGCACAAAAACACATGGCAGTTAGTGTAACTTTCCATTTTGTGATGACAGAGGATACACTTTTTCAGGGGTGTCACCTTCTTTCTGGCCCCTTTAGGACCCAATTTCTAATTTAGGATCACCACCTGTCTCCCTGTCCCTGGCCTCAGCCATCTCCCAGTGTACTTCATGTGGTCATGCTGGCATCTCTTCATGGCATTTGTGCCACAGGGAGGTATGATGAATGGTCACGGTGTAAGGCTGCAGTGGGCAGTAACGTTGGTGGTAAATGGGAACCATTAGTGTCTAGCACAAAACAAAGGTT